TGATGAAGGTCACTGCTTTGATCCCCACGGCTTGCTCTTGTGTTTATGGATGGCCATTATTAGTAACACAGGCTAGTGCATGCACCGCTCCGTGCCTGCCCTTGTCTGACTGCAAGAGAGCAGGGGCAGGATAACAAAAGAAAGTATAAATAGAGTCTTTTAAAAAGCCTGCTAAATAGAAATAGACTTTTAGGGTGGAGAGAGAAAGAATGAGGCTTGTTACCATGGTAACTGCCAATGGTTTATTTAAGAAGGGCAAAGAAACAAACACCACAAAAAGGCGAAGTCAAGAGGAGTTGAAGATTGCTGAAGGATTCTGTCGGCATACAGATGCCAAGGGGCCAGGTAAGAGCAGTGAGTTTCTACCAAAGCTGTGCTGAAAAAATTCATCCCATTTTACCTCCTGCAAAATGGTCTGGGAAATGTTACTATGAAATGTGCATTTCCAGTTAGGGAAACTGCATTTCCTTTTTTTTTGGCAGGGTAGAGGATGGGGAAATGCATGAGGAACAAATGTAGATTGGTGAAATCATCAGGAGCAAAGGGCCATGTTACCTCTGCCCAACCTGGACCCACTCAGTGCAAAGCCCCTCTCTCTCCCCCAGTTCCCCGGATTTGACGACCTCTACTGCAAGTTCTGCTTCGTCTACGGCCAAGACTGGGTTCCCACAGCAGTAAGGCCCCAATTTGCGCCCCTGAAACCCAGCCTGCCTGCCCGGCCCACCGCAGCACGGGCACCCCGGGCTTGGTGCGGGCCCCCGGCTCACGCCACCTTCTCCCCCCAGGGCCTGGAGGAGGGCATTTCCCAGATCACCTCCAAGAGCGATGTCGCTCCCACCACGCTCGTCTGGAACTTCCCCATCGACATTACCTTCAAGAGCACCAACCCGTCCGGCTGTGAGTGCTGGGAGTGGGGGGATTCGGCGCGCAGACCAGGCACCCCTCTCACACACGCTTCAATTTGCAGGGCCGCAGATTGTAGTGAGCGTCTACGGACCTGACTTTTTTGGAAACGATGTGGTCCGAGGTTATGGAGCTGTTCACGTTCCCTTCACGCCCGGAAGGTGAGGTGACAACCTGTCTTTCAGGACTGAAACAGAGATGTTACTGCGTTGTTTCAGAAAGCAAAATGTTCCCATCTCTCCTTACCATGTCTTGTCCATTTGGTACAAAGAGCATGGATTTCCTAGCAGCAGCCCCTGGTTTTCACATAATTTTTGGTAACCCTGTAGACAACTGTAAAGTCAAAACTGGCACGTAGAAAGCCCAAGCATGAAGTGCAGTACTTTACCTCTCCCTGTCACTCTCAGCACATGCTAAGCTTTCATTTCCACCATGGGAAATGGAGGAAGGTACACTCTTCCCGTGCAAACCAACCCTTTCTTTGTGGAGGGGAAAGTATTATACTTTGCAATATTCGCTGGTCTGATGTGTCTGAAATTCTGGTACCTTTATAAAGAAGTCTTGGCAGTGCTGTTTGGTTCATTTCTTAAGTTCTGTGAGTCTCGTGTTTGTTTTAGGCATACGAGAACCATCGCTATGTTTGTTCCAGAGTCCACATCTAGGCTGCAGAAGTTTACTAGGTAATAATTAAAGACTACTTTTTTTTTTTTTTTTAATGTCCTTCTTGCTCTTAGTCACAAAGCAATATCCAACTGCTCACTGGTGCGTACATGTGAACACTTTGTGTTGTAACCAGATAGTTTTGTAGGTAAAACCACGTTTTTAGGTGCCTAGGTCTTCTGAAGAACTTTCTTAAAAACATGTTGACCACCTGCTTGCAGTAATGCTAACTCTTTTTTTTCTTTTCACCCTCGCATTCGAACACCGCTGGTTTGAAAAAGAACTAATTGCAGCAGAGCAGACCGATACGTGAGGTCTTGTACCGAGTGGCAGCTCCGGTTGCGCAGATTGATTCATGTCAGCGATGTGACTTGCGCTACTTAAGCTAATTTTACAGAGCTACTGAGTTGCCACTGGACTCTAAGGAGCCCATCCCTAAATCTTACTGTAGCCAGGGGCTTTTCTGAAGGATCGCCACATTAAGAGTGACCTGGAAAGCAAAGGCAGAACACAGAAAAACAATTCCCAGTTCTACTCTTTTTTTCGAGTTGGAATGTGGTTGCTCTAACTTTGGTCTTGTTTACACACACGCATCCCATCCGAAGTAGCAGTCTGTAGACAGCAACTGAGGGGATTAAGGTTTTTTTTTCTTTGCATTGTGTTGTTTAAGTACAGTCCGAATGATGGGTGAGCCGACTGTTCGGTTGGGCATTGCCTGTACCAACAGAGCCTACCCTTGCGCAGAGCCAGCCTTGGGTCAGAGTCAGGGAATCTCTGGGCCCGATGGTCAGGATTCAACAGATTCACTTTTCTTCCCTTTTTGTGGAAGCTACACTCTAATTTGTGTACTTTTGTTATGTGCGCCTCCAATGTACTCCGAGTATCCAAGCCTCTCTGTAACTCTGGGTAATCAAGAGCTGAAGCAGTTTCAAAAACGTCTTTGCCATAGAAAGATTCCGTCTAGCCCAGAAATAACTTGGATTTAACATCCTGCTTATGAAATGGCTTTCATTTTTTTCCTTAGACACGCAAAACTTAACCTTTGATGCAAGTAGACCAGCAATAAAGTGAAGTGGTCTTCAAAACTCTCTACTGCAAACAAAAGCTGGGAGTCTCATAAAAAAACACGAAGGGGGGAGTAAAAGATGCATGTAATGAGCTGTATCACACTGAATCACTACTGAATGGATCCAAGTAATTATTTTCTTCTCCCAGCTGGTTCACAGGGAGACGTCCGGAATTTACTGACCCCAAAGTGGTAGCACAGGGAGAAGGACGAGAAGGTAAGTCCCTGGGGCTCCTGGCCATAGCCCTCTCACGACAGCAGGCCACAGCTTGGCCATCCATCTTCTGTTGGTAAAAAAAGGACTAGTAGTTCCTGCCGGGAACAGTCCCACCTGGATAGCTATTCAAACCCTCTCTTAACCAGTTTTATTCACGTCCTCTTTCTTCTAGTAACGAGGGTACGATCTCAAGGCTTTGTGACCATTTCCTTCAACGTAGTGACCAAAGATATGAAGAAGCTGGGCTATGACGTGAGCCCAAGCGACATGCAGAACCCTTCTCTGGTGCCCGTTATGGAAGGGATTCCCAAGTACTGAACTCGGGTGCGAGATGCTTCAACGGCTCACAGAGAAGTTTAAGCGCTTGGGGGCTTTTTGTGGCAAAGGGAAACGAGTTTCTGACTAAACTGAGAAAATCTCACTAGAGACCATTATTCCAAAAGAAACACAAGCCCATGAGGCTTTGGAATAATTACCTGAGTATAATCCTTTCAGTAAGCATCCAGGTGGAAGTATTATGTAAATTAATGTCATCAGATAACTTTAGCATTTTTATGAGTAGTAGCAGACTCAAAATAAGACCTGTAACAAAGTAGGTTTTATACCAGCCTTTTGTACACGCTTTGTATACTTAAAGGATAGGAAAGTTTAGAGTTGCAGCGGTTTTCCTGTGTTTAAAACATCCTTGCAAACCCAGTTCTTTTTACTGGTGTTTTTTGGGGTAGAAATGGGAAATCAAAGTTATTGCACCTCCCAAAAAGGAGGGGACATGGAAACGCTCCAGTGAAAGGCACACACACTTCTCTGTGCCATGTGCTTCCCTCCGCAAAAGCAACAGCAGCTTCCTTTATAACCCCACGTAGCCCTTTGGAGTTTGTGCACCCAGTTAGGATAGCTCGTGCACTGTAGGAACGAACCTTTCCACCTCTTTCAGTGAAGCAACCCAGGCGTTTGCATTTAGGACAAGATGATGCCTCTTCCATTTGCACATTTAATTTCTGCATCAAGCTTCAGGAAGAAAAAAAAATAAGGATGGACAGCGGTTTGTTTTAGAGGAGCTGGAGAGCCCGCGGAGTTAAACGTACCCGTATTGCACTTAACTTCTGCTAGAACAAATTGCATTTTCAGTGCAGATATCGACTAAGAAATAATAAACTTTAGAGAAGGCTCTGCAAAGAAAGTAGAGTCTCGGTAAGCCAGCAACACGTGCAGCCAGAAGCAGCGTTCAGCTCCACGTGAGGCAGCAGAGGCGCGGGGCAGCGGCAGGGCCTTCTCCTCCCGTCAGCAGGTCCCTCCAGCCAGCGCATCGTGCCGACAGCGTACCGTGGCTTTCCTCAGCCACTGTCCTTACCGAAAGAAAGGCCGTCAAAAAGCAACAGAGCCACGTTCGACACTGCTCGACTCGGGTTTTCTTCCCCGTCGTGTAACCCCGGAGGAGGATCGGAACGGTGTTGGCTGCGACTCGTGTGTGAGCGGAGCTGCAAAGCTGAAGCGCTGGCCTCGGTCCGGAGAGCGAGCTTCTCCTCCTCAGCCATACCACAGCCTCTCACCAAACCCCCCCGAGCTAGCGCTAGCGCTCTTCATCTAGGCTGAATAAACCCAATTGTCTAAATATATTTGTTTGTCTTCTACTGCTAGGGTTTCTGTTTGTGCCAGAACGGATGTTTCCAAGCCCTAAATCGGCCAAGATCTGCTCTTCTTACAGGTACAAAATAAAAACAAGTGTACGTTGCTAATTGCTTGGTCATTTTCATATTTAAATTTGGGCAGGGAATCTCTTGCATTTGCCTGCAAATACCAAGAGATGAGCGTGGGAGTGACTTAATGTGATACCGCCCTGTAAGTGAACCACCAAGACCTTGCGACTGCAGAAATACCAGTAACACCACCCAGCGCTGAGCTGCGCCTCCGGGACACGCAGCGAAGAAAGCATCCAGTTAGGGAGAGTTGTTCTTGCGCGCTGAGCCCTGCGATTGAATAAATATAATTCCTGAAAAGATAACATGATCGCTGCAGTTTTGCTGTGAGGACATGGAACTGTTGGAACGGGTCCAGAGGAGGGCTACAAAAATGATCCGAGGGCTGGAGCCCCTCTCCTATGAGGACAGGCTGAGAGAGTTGGGCTTGTTCAGTCTGGAGAAAAGAAGGCTGCGGGGAGACCTGATTGCGGCCTTCCAGTACCTAAAGGGGGCCTATAGGAAAGATGGGGAACGTCTTTTTAGTAGGGCCAGCTGTGTTAGGACAAGGGGAAATGGTTTTAAACTAGAACAGGGTAGGTTCAGGCTAGAGGTAAGGAAGAAATTTTTTACAATGAGGGTGGTAAAACACTGGAACAGGTTGCCCAGAGAGGTAGTGGAGGCCCCATCCCTGGGAACATTCAAGGCCAGGTTGGATGGGGCTCTGAGCAACCTGATCTGGTTAGCAGTGTCCCTGCTCACTGCAGGGGGGTTGGACTAGATGACCACTAGTGGTCCCTTCCAACCCAAAACATTCTATGATTCTATGATTAGCATCTTTTACGCTATTTACAAATGCTTCTCCAAACACGGGTACGGATCCTTCTTCATTTCTTGCTTTTTTCCTATCTTGTTTTTGTTGGTTTTATGCTTCCAGAAAGCTCCTCCACCAGTTGTTTTGGCAACTGCTGTAATCTCTGGACTGAATCGTGTTGGAATCCAAATTAGTAAGTATTTCCTGTTGGCTCAGAGGAGACACAAGGAATTTTGTTTCCTTTTCAGAAGTATTTGGGAAGCAGTGAGCTACAGTAGCCGGAGAAATATCTGTGTTTGAAATACTTGAAAGGCAAACATAAAGCCTACAACCGCTTAAGTAAATCTTTTTTTTCCCTTGAGCACAATTACCTGCCCCCTTTCCAATTAGAGCAAAACTGCACAACAGTTTTTAGTCATGAGAAACCCATTACACCCAGCAGCAGCCCAAACCTCCTGCCCACAGGGGCGCAGTGAATCCGTTCCCTCACAGCTTTGCAGCATGGTACTAATGACCGACCTCCGGAATTGCTCCTCTTCCAAACCAGGTGGATGCTCACCACACGGAGACCGAGCAAACCAACACGTGCGTTTGTACGGCTTCGCTGTTTGCAGCCAAGCAGCGGGGACCCTCAGAGGAAAGATTAAAAGAAAACAGTGAAAACAAGGGGTTAAAAAAAAAAAATATATATATCTCCCAAACTCCACAAAACAGTCTTTAAGATAGGTGCCTGTTAAGCAGGACCCACAGCGCTGCCTGCACCATTAGCGCTTGTCTCTGGGTTTGGTTGGGTTTTGGGGGTTTGTTTTTGACTCCTCGGGAGCTTTTCGGTCTGACACAGTTTGCTCCTTGTGCGGGGGTGATGTTTTCAGTAAGCGCTTCCCGAGCTCAATGCCGTTCCCTTCGTTCCCGGAGACAAGCTTTGGTACCTCTCACACACGTGCTCTTCTCCCAGAGCCAGGCTTGCTGCTGCTTTTATAATTTTCTGGAAAACCATCTCTAGTTTCAGTCCCTGGTACTCAGGCGTGGCAGAGCGTTTGCAGCTGTTCCACCCTGGAGAGGATTCCTGCTCTCACGACAGAGGAGCACAGACAGACACGACGTGTGCTGCCGAGAGCGGGTGACATGAATAAGGGGGGGATTTACGACCCCTAAGTGTTCGTGCAACTAAAGAACCCATGCTTTAAGAACAGCCACACCCCAGAAAAACCCAGCCTTGCTACAGCCGGGGCTCCAAGCCATTTCCTTTCGCCCGCTTCCCAGGCAGCTGTAACCACCCTGCTCGTTACCAGTTAATCATTCTCCCTTTTATTCCAAACCCAAGTCCCCAACCCCTTGTAGCACAGATGGCAGCGGGAGGCTGGCAGCTGGCGCTGCAGCTCCTGTTTTGTTACGCTTAAGTCTCTCCCAGACAGTGAAATTGCCCATTAACCTCCTAATTCCAAGATGGGCAGGAATAAAAATCTTTATTCAGAACACGTGTCCCGACACGGGATGAGGCTTCGAGGCCATCAAAAAAAGAGTGAGGCCCTCAGAGGCAAACGAAGGCAGTGAAATAGTTGAGGATTTTGCAGAAGCCCTCCTCTGCCGACGCGGGCTGGAGGAGCCTTGGAGCAAGCAGCCCCGGGACCCTGCTCCCTTCATGGGGGAGTTTTCCTGCCCTCACTGTGGAAGCCACCCTGGGAGGGAGACAGCCAAGGACACGTTCTGAACAGCAGCTTGCGACTCAAACCCTCCAGAAAAAAAGGAACAATCATTTGGATAGCTTTTAGGAACTGATATTTGCAGCCCTTTCTACCAAAACTAGAAACAGCAGCGTCAGCTCCTGCCCTCTCGTGGCAGCTTTCAACCTTTAGGAAGATGTTGGAGGTTGCTAATAACAATGAGCTAAGATTGCCTGAAAGACATCCCAACTTTTCCCTGTTCCTACATGGAAAAAAAATCGCTCACTGCAACAGGCTGGCTGCCCTGCTGCTGCCCCTTGCCCCGACAGCACGGGGCAAATGCCTCCCGGCGCCACGAGCCACCCGAGGTGCCTCGCAGGGAACGGGACCGAGCCAGAAATCCATACATCAGCGAGCGCTTGGGAAGCTGCCTCTGTCCTGAGGCTAGCAAGGCTGGTTTACGGCAGCAGCATCGCAGCAGCTAGAAGTCATCTCCGCCTGAAAACGAGAGCCTTGCAGATGGATTGAAGCTGACAGCAACTGCTCCCAGCAACAGTGTGGGTTTAGGAGCAGAAGCCTCCTGTGAAATACTCCAGGGGGAGAACACACCAATAAAAAAGCAAAATAAACCACAAAACCACTGAAGAGCCAGATTTGAAGAAAATCGGAGCTTCGGCTCCAACTCTACGTGGGCTTGTCACCAGCAGCGTTCCAGCTCATCGCAAACCAGCCCCAGGGTGACCCATTTGTGCCAAGGTCACCGGAGCATCATGCTGGGACCTGCTGCCTGGGGAGACAGCGGGGCCAAACACCAGGGATCCGCCACCCCAGATAGGGGTTCGTGGGGTGACAGGAGGCCAGGACAGCTGGGGTGGGAGATGGGGGTTACACGGCATGGAAGGCATCAGCGGTGACAGAGCTGGGCTTGCACCCGCACCTGCAGAGCCCGTGT